TTTTTATTTTAACACTTGTTTTAATGATATTTATATTTTAAAAAAAAATACAAGATTGTACCATTATATTTTAAAAACAATCTATTATCACAATTACTTTGATTGTTATTGGAAGTCTTTTATTTAAAGATTAATAGTTAAAATTTACTATAGAATTATGCTAACTTTTTTGTCTTCCAACAACAAACAAACAACATCATATTGTAAATTACAAAAGTTATTTTTATAAAAAAAATATAATAATTAACAATAAAAATAATATACACATGTTGTTTATATAACGGTTTTGTGCTATTAAATAACAATGAAACAATATGATTTGAAAAAATAATTTATAAGTGTGCCGAATGTTCATTGCATAAATAAGGAATTGACGTAGTAAGTTTGGTTGGGAATAAAAGAACTGTTGTCATAATGTTACAGAGTATTGTTGTACTCTTATTCGTTGTAATTTCACTAAGTCGGTCTGAAGTAACCGATTTTGACTTTAATATCGAATTTGATTCAAAGGAAACCGCTGAAGACTTAGATGATTTTTTCACGTTTTTTGAAAACGAAGAGTCTGCTTATTTACTTGATGATGGATGGTTTCAAGGATTGAAAGAAGGGATCAGTGATGCAGTTGACAAGGGAACAAAGTGGATGGCCAAAAATGGAGAGGCTATTTCCAAAGGACTTGACAAGGTTTCCAACATAGCTGGAACCGTTGAAAAATATGCTGGAATAGTAAATAAAGTGGCCACAGTTGCTTCAGCAATTCCTGTTTTAAATACCGTTGCAGGTTTGTTTATAGTTACTTTGTTTATTAATCAATCAAATGACAACATGAAACTATTATTACATTTCATGAATATCAGTAATGCTGTTTTAACGACTTTTTAAGTCAAAACATTCTTCAATATATTTCAAATAATTGTTATCAAAACAGAATAACGACAATTTATTGTTGTTTGAATTATGAAATATCAACACAATAAATATTAAAAAATAGCACCAATTGCTGCTGCATCCAAAGTTGTTCAAACGGGTGCAGGAGCAGTAAGTACAATAACAGGAGTGGCTAAAAAGGGGGTAGATATTGCTACTGATTTTTCTAAAGGGTATCAAAAAGGAGGTATAAAAGAAGGTTTAAAACAAGGAGGAAAAACAGCACTTAATTACGCAAAGGATTGGGCTGTTGATAAAGCTGTTGGTATGATTAAAGATGGAGCAAAAGGTGCTGCTAAGAACATAATAAGTGGCAAAAAAGTTGATTTAACGCCAAAGAATATGATGAAGAATGTGAAAGACAGTTTCAATGTTAAAAAGAACATGAAAGACACATTTACAGATCTCAAAGATTCCACTGTGGGCGCAAAGAAGAGTTATAAAAAGAATTTGATAGAGACGAAAAAGGAAGTGAAAGAAAACAAGAAGAACATGAAACAGATGAAAAAAGCATTGAAAGATCCAAAGAAGGCACTTAATGCTCTTACAAAAAATGTTAAAAGGGGATTAGGAAAATCTATTAAACACTTACAAAGGGACAAAGCTAAAAGACAAAAACAAAAGGAAAAGAAAAAACAAAAAATGATGAATAACACGAATAAAAGAAAAGCATCCAAACCTAAAAAAATTCAAAAGCCAAAGATAGTTAATAAACCAAAAATCCGAAAAAATAAAAACAAGCCTAAACCACAAAATAGACCAAAACCACAGAAAAGACAAAAACCAACGGCAAATGCTCAAAAATCACAAAAGAAAGGAAAAAAGAAATAATTCAAATATTTTCATTCATTTTATAATCGAATAACATCATAAATTTCAATTTTTATATTTAACTAAAATATATCAAAAATTTATAAAATTTTGTTAATTAAATTATTCAATGTCAAAACTGGTTTATATTCGTCATGCTTACAACATAGAACACAAAAAATAATAATTTTGAATTCAACAAAATATATTTAATATACAAGTATACCTAATATACTTAATTATATTCAATCATTAATTAATTATTACGTTTTTCGTGGCTATACACTTTCAAACATGGTTTATAAATATAGTATATATTGAAGAACAATTCAAGTGTATTTGTTTATATTAAGACTATCTTGATTTTTGTTTACCATAAAAATAGAAAAAAAATTATATGCAAATTTAAACGATTAAATTAATTGTAATACAAAAATGTTGTAAATATTGAAAAATAATTTAAATTATTTTTTTGAAGTGAACTCGTTTACTTATAATGTCACCACTCCACAAATTACCAGAGTCTTCAATAACTTCTTCAAATAGATTTTCTTCTTCTTTATAATATTTTATTGTCTGAGTATTTTGTGAATCTCCAAAAATGTTTTCAAATGCATTATGTGTCAAATTTTTCAAAACTTCTCTCTCAATTTTGAAACAGTTTTTAAAAGCAAATTTCCCAATAAATTTTACTTTTGAGTAATCGATTTTATTGATATCAAGAAGATTAGTACAATTAAAGAAACAAAATGCTCCAATATGTTCCAATTTCGCATTTCTTACAAATTCAATTTTGGAAAGTGAAATACAATTGGAAAATGCGAAGTCTCCAAGTGAAATAACATTATCCAATTTTATATCCATTAAACTACACATCCCTGTGAATGAACAATTTGTTATAAATTCCACTTCTTCTGGAATCTCAACGTGTTTCATTTCAAAATTCATTTTAAACGTTTTTCTGTATTTTTGGCACAAAAATTTACTTGGAAAGTCATCAGATTTTACAAATTGAAAATCCACAAGTGAAACGCATTTTGCAAAAACTTTTTTCTTTTTAAAAACAATTTTTGTTGAAACAATTTTTGAAAGTGTTCTGCAATTGTAAAATGCTTTCTTCCCAACACTTATTACCGAAATAGGAAGTTCGATTTGTTGAAGAGAAAAATTGTCTTTAAAGGCCAATTTCCCAATTTTTGTGAGTGTATTTGGCAAATCTATGTGTGATAAACTGTAACAATTTTTAAATGACGAATTTTGTATTTCTTTAATTCCAAAAGGGAGAACAACACTTTGCAAATATTCCCAATAATAACAACATTGTCTTCCAATTATTTGAAATCCACTTTTGACTTCCAAAAGTTCAGTCTGCTGTTTTTGTTTAAAAGTAACGTTCCCATACAACTTTTGCTCTTCGTCACAAAACAAGTTTTCTCCAAAATTCACTTTTGGACACACAACATGCAATTCACTCAACTTTTCGGCCTGAATTTCATTGACAAAACCATCAAATGTTTTTATGTTTACATTCGCCGGATTTGGAAATGCGAAATTTTTTAAATTGGTGAGAGAATTGAAAAACACAGAATCTCCGATTTTGGTCAACGAAGATGGAAATTCTATATTTGTCAATGCAATGCAATTAGAGAAACAAAAATCACCGATCTCTTTAACCCCACACATTTTGATTGACTGAACGTTATTTCCTGAGAAAAAAAATGATCCAATTTTTGTGACATTTTTGGGAATAACAAAATGTGATGGGAATTGAATATTGTTGTATTTACCAATCCACTCAAATTCAACGGTTTCAAATTGTTTACTTTCATATTTGTGAATGTCAACCAAATCATCAAAAATCAAGCGAATCAATTTGAATGTGTAACCAAATCGCTCTAAAACGTCACAATCATAATTAGAAACTTTAAAATAAACAACTTTGTCTATATTTGGAATTTCAAGTGTTTTGAGCGATGTGCAATTACAAAAACAGTTGACACCAACAGAAGCTGTTGGACTCAACTCTATGGCACTCAACTTTTCGCAATTTTTAAAACATTCGTTTCCTATTTTTATCACATCTTTCAGCCCTGAAATTTCAGAAAGATGAAAACAATTTTCAAAGCAATTTTCTCCCAATTTCTTCACATTTTGTAATACAATTTTGGATAAACTCACATTATTTTTTAAACAATTTACCATTAAATTCATGTTTTGTATTATTTTAGTGTTATTTGTTGGATTTATATTTAAATTTGTTGTGTGTACCTTTTCTTCCAAAAACACGTCCTTTTTGCATTCAAATTCAGTGTACAATTCTTTATATATTTTAATTTCCTCTTTGTTAATTTTGTTCAACAAAAAGCCATTGATATTTGGAACATTCAATTGAGTTAAATTAAAACACTGTTTAAACGCAGAGTGTTGGACTAAACACCTTTTTGGGATCTCAATTTCCCTTAAATTGGAACAATATAAAAACGCTTCACTTTCGATAAAAATAACTTTCTGTGGTATTTTTATAGTACTCAAATTTACACAATTATGGAAGGCGTTCATTTTTATAGCAACCAAATTTAGTGGGAGAATTACACGGGTCAGCGAATTACAATACGCAAAAGTGTTTCTATTAATCACTTTAACGGCATCAGAAATTGTGATTTCACTCAACACCGAACATCCATAAAATGCCACATTTCCGATATATTTCACTCCTTTTGGCATATCAAATTTGTCGAATCTGCAATTTTCAAAGGCACAGGCGCCAATAGAAGTCACACTCTCTGAAAGTCGCACACTCCTTAAGTTGTAACACCCATAAAACACGCTCGGTGGGATGTCAAAAATAGTGCTTGGCACATTAACAGCGTGTATCGCCGAATTCCCAGAGAAGGCCGCTTCCTCTATTTTTGTGATCCTATTTGGGATGTCAACGTCCCCACTTACCAAATTTCGCGAGAACCCACTTGGACCGTATACGGAAACGATCTCCGGGACATCCGCAATGGTCTCAGAGAAGAATTCAGAAGAATCCGATTTAGTGAAAACAACGTGTTTTGGTGGTCTTAAAAGTGGTTCTGAAAAATATCTAATTTTGTAAAGAGCAATTTCGTAACAAACGACTGAACGCTTTGGGAGGAAAATTTGGTCATTCTCAGAGTAGAGGTATTGCGTTTGAATGCACGGAAAGAGTTTCATTGAACTGATTGGTATTGGGTTATACCGAAATCGGTCGAGTAAGTTCTTAAATTTAGAACAGACTTGAATTATGTTAAGATAATCATTCGCTTTATTAAAGTACTTTGAGACTATTTGAACAGAGAAGATGTCGAGCTGAGTTTTCATTAATAAAGATATTATTAGTTTACAGACCAATCTTTTAATAGTATATTTTACTATAAATATGATATTATGAAGTATATAATATATATAGTATATTTCAAGTAATATATATTATTAATTACTAAAAACAACAAATGACAAAAATGTTATCTTCATTAAAAATTAACTATAATTTATGGTATTTTACTATTAATAGTATTATATTTGTTCTTATTTATAATTAAATAACATGAAAACGCAACTAGACAAGAACGCAATGTTTTTTATCAACAATTTCAATTGTTTTGATTTCAATTTTGTGTGTTTCTTCATTGATTGGCTCGACTGTTTTTCTTATGTTTTCCACTTGTTTCATAATATCAATTTTTGCATAAGACACTCCATCATTTTCAAGAGCAGACATCTCGTAAAACCACAAATTTGTGCACTTTA